ATTTTAATGTTAGCGAACAACGACTAAAATCATTAAAAACAAACTTGTTTCAAACAACATCCTGTGTGACTATGATGCCTGTGTGAAATTATCGCGCAGTCATACGTAATGATAAACAGAGTACAAAAATACGACCCGTATTTGATGCCTCGTTCAAAGTTAATGGCCCATCTTTAAATAAATGCCTTTATTCCGGTCCAAACATGATCGCAAAAATTTTCGACATTTTGCTTAAGTTCAGACTAAACAAGATCGGGGTGCTAGCCGATATTAAACAGACCTTTTTAAATGTCGGTATAGACAAACAACATAGTGACTACCTTAGATTTTTCCCCGAGCCGGCGCGGAGCGCCGTGCAAGGGTACTAATTCCGCCCGGAGATTACGAATTACACCCGGGAGAACATAGCAGTATTCCCATTGGGAATTCTGCCACACAATGGGCGAATTAAGACAGCAAATTCATCGCATGGCTAATAGAGAGGTGTGGCTATCATGTGATAGCATAAAGCAATTAAATAGAGCAAGCAAAATCAGGGTTGGTAAGTTACTGAATAAATAAGCCAAACATTGTTATTGGCGGCCCTTTGATTCCTTTGTTTTAAACAAAGAAAACAAATGTTATTATGTTAATATATTTGGCTTATTTATTCATAAAATCTACCAACCCTGAGCAAAATCGTGTTTTTCGCATTTCGACGTTGGAAAGAAGGTATACGCAAAGCTTAGAAGGGTTTTTTCTTTCCTCATCCTGCCTGTCGCGTCTGAGCCAATACACTTCACCCCAATATGGATCACGTTGCTAATAATGTACAAATTCCTATCGCCATCCACGATGTTGACAACGTGATAAACGCTCTACAAGAAGGTCCGCCAGCGGCTCCACTTCCAGGACCGGCTGCCGAGCTACCACCAGTCGACGCTCCGCCGCAAGCACCACAGCCGATACAGGCAGCACCGCCATTAGCCCAGCCTCAGGTAATTAGCTATCTTTTACGCCTACAGTGTTTGCCGTATATATTTCACTTACACAGGGTTGTTTACCCGTTTCTCGCTTCGCTCAAAACCTCGTCTATCCTTATCGCTATAGCCTAAGCGCTTTTCCGTTGGGTCCCCATTTCATGCTTCCTTCGCTCGGATCTGCCGTACATGCTTTCTTCTCGCGGGATCTACATGTCACCCTTTCGCAATCCTCCGTTTGATTATTTGTTTCTACGTCTTATAGTATCACATACAAAATTTGAATCTTTTGTTTACGCCTTAGTACTTCCGATCCTTTTCTATTGTTATAATTTCGCCCAGTTCACATTACCTCATTAGATTAAGCATTATATTTGCCTTATTTGTTTTTGTTCCCTCTTAATACTCCCACTCATAAGAATCGATCATACTCTACTATTATCACGACTGCGAACACGTGCGAACCATTTTGCCCTCAACCTGTGGCGCGTATCGAATTTAGACGTTTCGCTCCTCGCTCATACCTTTGTCCTATTCTAGCAATACTATGCCTACATTTTCGCCTATAATGTCTTGTTTCCTCGTTTTGCCTGGTCTCGCATAATTTTCGACCCATTTGTCTATTTTGCCTGACGTCAGTTCACATCTCGGTAAGCCTAACGTAGTTTCCAGTTTGATCTTGCGATTTTGCCACTCATTTCCCAGCGACTGTGCCTACCTACCCCACAGCGAGTGTGTGTTGCCTTTCCAATGTCATATTTAGCTCGCTAAAGCTGCCGTTTACTGTTATTATTTCCTAAAATTTGATCACTTGTTTGCATAATTTTGCAACTGAGAGGACGCCAGTTACTTAATGTCTATTGTTTGTGTCTCCAGCATATTCTATAACCCCTCTGTGTGAGGCTGCTGTTCACTACCAAAGTGATTGAAGTTTGTTTATTTGTTGTTTACTCTCATACTGTAATTTTTCGCTAACCAACTGTGTGACAGATGCCTCGTCATGGGTCATGCCTCCTCATGGCCACCGTGTGAGATGAAGTTATTTACCTTCTGCTCATTTCTTACACATTCACCAACCCCTGTGTGAGATGGCATTTTATAGCCACAGTGTTAGATGAGGTTATTTACTGCTTATTTTCTTATACATTATACACTAGCCACTGTGTGAGGTGTCGTTTTATAACCACAGTGTGAGATGAGGTTTTTTTTGTTTACTGTCTATTTCCATTATACACTAACCACTGTTTGAGAGTTGTCGTTTCATAACCACAGTGTGAGACGAGGTTATTTATTTACTGTTTATTTTCACTTTTACCAACCACTGTGTGAGGTGTCGTTTCATAGCCACAGTGTGAGATGAGGTATTTTCTTTACTGTCTATTTCCCTATACACTAACCACTGTGTGAGAGGTGCCGTTTCATAACCACAGTGTGAGATGAAGATATCTAATTTGCTGCTTATTTTCATATACCCCAACTACTGTGTGAGGTGTCGTTTCATAGCCACAGTGTGAGATAAGTTGTTTGTTTACTGTTTATATTTCTTTTTATTTACTAACCACTGTGTGAGAGGTATCATTTCATAACCACAGTGTGAGATGAAGCTATTTAATTTGCTGCTTATTTTCATATACCCCAACTACTGTGTGAGGTGTCGTTTCATAGCCACAGTGTGAGATAAGTTGTTTGTTTACTGTTTATATTTCTTTTATTTACTAACCACTGTGGGAGAGGTATCATTTCATAGCCACAGCGTGAGATTGAAGCTGTTTATTTACTGCTTATATTCTCTATTCTCTAACCACTGTGTGAGAGGTGTCGTTTCATAGCCACAGTGTGAGATGAGGTTATCTATTTACTGCGCCTATTTCATATACTCTAACCACTGTGTGAGTCTGTGAGAGGCATTCTTCCATAACCACAGTGCGTGAGGAAGTTATTCACTTTGCTTATTTTTTCATATACCCCAACTACTGGGTGAGGGTGCCATTTCGCAGTCATAGTGTGCTATGAGGTTGTAATTTACTTACCGCTCACCCTACCGTTCAAAAAAAAAAAAAAAAAAGAATGGCGGTAGGGGTTTACATGTTTTATACTGATTTGAGAGGGGCAAATCTAAGCGAAAAGCCTCATACCACTGTCTACGACGGGGTTCTCACTTCAGTACAGGCAGTAAACCCCCACCCAAAAGACTATATGTTCGACCGGGGTCAACCATTTATACTCGCGCACTTACATTGTCACCCATTCACGCCTCATGTAGATTTCAAAACTTACGACAGGTTTACACGTCGTCACTGATTTGAGGAAGATACGTCTAGCTGAAGGCCTCATGCTCATATACGACCGGGTCTACCTCCAGTTTGTAGGGGCAGTCGTTAAAAAAAAAAACAAACATTGCTAACCTTCGTAATTTGGCCCTCCCGTTTAGCCCATCACCCTGGACGGCCTGCAGGCCCAAGTAAACCAGCTCCTCGCACAATCGAATACTCATACAGCGGCAGCCGCCGCTTCTCATTTACGACAAGAGCTTATAAAACCGGCTGGCGTTTTTGACCCTTTCGTAGCCTTAGCCGCCCTGGAGAACCTGGTCGATGTCGCCCGTGAAAGCAATGATGTAAATGCGCATCGGTACAATACCATCTTTAAACAGACTCGACGTTTACAAGGCCACCCTCAACTCCAGTCCATTCTCCTTAAGTTGGTTGGCGACAAAGACGAAATCGCCGTCGCCAAAATAATCCAAAAGTCACTGAAAACTGCACCCCCAAAGTCATACGTGTCCACTCCCTATCCCCTTCCACCTCGTATGCGCCCTCCTGCTTTTCCACCGTTCCGGCATCCAGTCCTCGGTCGACCTCGTTTATATACAGCAAGCTCACCTCCGCGGTGCTTTAATTGCCGTAGCACCGGCCATTTTGTCCGAAACTGTCCAGTTCCCCGCCGCCGGTGATTCTCCTCCAGATAACATACCAACGGGTTTAAAGTGTGGAATAAAGATCTAATTAATATATCATTAACTTATGAACAGATCTCGTCTTTTCTATATTGGTATACGCTTACATATTCATATGCTTACATCTATATACCTATATATTTAGTGTGCGTTTGTTATCTTGTCGACTGTCTCACCAATAAATTGTCATTCCACACAAGTCTTGTCTTTACTTTACCACATAGGGTTCAACTTCGGCAGACTTTGATACTAACTTACGGCAAGCATTAGCCGAAACCAAATATGTTGAATGGTGCTCTTCTACACTCGACCATAACCCTCCCTTTGGGCCCCTTCCTCCGCTCAACAGCGTTGTTTCCGCCCACGTGTTGCCCAGCACAGATTGGCTTGCTTTCCGTCACCCGGATTCGTTCGTTGCAGGTGAGATTCACAACCACACCCCCTTTTGGGACGAAATTCTCCACCGCTATAGTAAAGAGTCAGAAATCGGAAATTATATCCATTCCAAAGTCGACATTCATTTGTTCTGGCGCCCTTTTAAGGGTACTTTTCAAAAACGATTTTATGACTCCCCTACTCCTCCCCCCACTAAATTCCCTAATAGCATTTCATGCAGAGGATTCGAGGATTTCATTACTACCACCATACTTGAACGCGTCCGTAATGGTTCGTTAACAGTCGTTGGAAAGACAGGCGATGTCCAACCACCCCATCTTGTGCTACCTTTAACTATCGAACCGTCCAAGCCTAGGTTGTGTCATGACGAAAGGTTTCTTAACTTGTGGATCAAAGATTTACCATTCTCGCTCGATACATTAAACGACTTACCAAGATATGTCGACCAAAACCACTACCAAACCGTCCTCGACGATAAGAGCGGCTATGATCACGTCTTACTTTCCGATCGCAGTTCCACCTACTTCGGTCTCGAATGGCGGGGTTGGTATTTTTGTTTCCGCACCATACCGTTCGGTTGGAAGGCCAGCGCCTACCTCTATCATTCAATCGGCCTAGCCGCTACTAGCTACATTCGCTCTATGAACGTACCTTGCTCACAATATATTGACGATCGGCACCTCGGCCAGATGCGTCTTCCACAACACTCCCTCCCAACCCCCACCATCCCCCCTAATATTTCCTTGGCCACATCCGCCGCGTACATCGCATGTTATGTCCTCATCAAATTGGGTTATTTCGTCAATTTAAAGAAATCCAGCCTTGTCCCCCAGCTCACAGTTCCTTTCCTTGGTTTCCTCAGTGACGCGGTCCGACAGGCATTTATCCTTCCCCAAAACAAAATAGAAAAGTTTAGTCTGTTGCGCGAATCCATCCTGGCCAAGAAATCTGTATCCTTGCAAAACCTTCAAAAGTTGGGCGGAAAAATTATTTCCTTCACCATTGCTGTGCCGGCTGCAAGGTTATACGCCTTCGCTATCTTTCACGCCACATCCGTTGCTCTCTCCACGGGTCGACCGGTCCCGCTCAAAGGTGCCCTCCTTGAAGAAATTTCGTCTTGGCGTTTTCTGGACTCTTGGTCCGGGTTCCTCCCTTGGCGAGAAGAACAACATATACGCCTTCACTTATACTCAGATGCCTCGAATGCTGGTTGGGCGGGGATTATACACTTCCCCGACGAAACCCCCACTACTGTAAAAGGCCCATGGGGTGACCACGAGCGCTTAGCCCCCATCACCGTCCGTGAAGCCTTGGCCCTTGTCCATACACTCCACGCGGTCTCTGACCGGTTAACCAACGCCCGGTTAGATTGTTATGTCGATAGCTTGGTCCTCGTTCACGCGTGGCAGCATCAAGGATCACGTAGCCCTGCCTTGGCCAACGCCCTCAAGCAATTGTTCTCCATCGCATTTACCCATAATTTTGTCCTGACCCTTTTTCATATCCCTGGCTCAGAAAACCCGGCCGACCACCCCTCCAGGCAGTTGTCAGACATTGACTGCACTCTCAGCTCTGCTGCTTGGCATGAAGTGGAACGCGCTTTCGGCCCTCATACCATAGACCTCATGGCACTCCCTGCTAACGTAGTCAGTGCTCCGTCGGGCCAGCCACTCAAATTCTTTTCCCCATTTTACACAGAGCAAGCCGCTGGAGTCAACGTATTCGCCCAACTTATTTCCCCGCTTGAAAACGCCTACGTCTTCCCCCCTTTTACACTCATTGGTCCACTGATCAAGTTCCTCAACCAACAGCATGTGTCCTATACCATCATAGCCCCAGATATCTCCCCACGCCGTTATTGGTGGCCACTTCTGCTCAACTTGGCCTCCGCCTCCTTTTGCCTCGGGAATAAAGGGGACACCTCCATTTTGCGTTTTCCCTCTTATACCAAAGAAGGCTTCACCCCTCGTCCTTTGCAGTGGGACCTTTGGGTATTTCGAGCATCCCATTAACTGGCGTCTTGTTTAGGTGTACCCTATTATCCCGCGTGTTTGGACACCCGCAGAGCAATGTCCACAGTGTACTTACCCGAATGATCTTGGTTTCATCTACTGCCAAAGGTGTGGTTTCAACAAAGAATTACCTTCTACGTCCGCTCCGCCCAGGGTTCGAATAGACTTTCCTTCAATTAATGCCCGTTTGTCCTTGCTTCACGCCACGCGAAATGAGAAACCATATCAAAAACAAAAATCACAACTACAAACACAATTTGAGGCTTTCATGGCCTCCTTACCATCACCTAAATCAATCCTTTCCGCGACACCCGAAGACATAATTCGTTTCCTCATCTGGCGGGACCAATTTGGGAAAACTGTCATTCATCATCGTATATGCCCTCATTTTGGTGTTCGCGACCGGCAACCACCATGTGACTGTCCTCGAAGGCTGGCTGCTAATACTGTGGACAATAATATCGCCAAGCTGCGAACTATATTCCTTTCTGCTCGTCGTCCGGATCAGATATCTGATGGCTTGCCCCCCTATAACCCCGCCGCACACCCTTCAGTCAAGCAATATCTGGCCTCTATTTGCGAGGAACAGGCGAAGGCAACTATTTCTCCCAAGCAGGCTACCCCCCTCTTCCATGATAAGTTCAAAGTACTTTGTACCCACCTCCACCAACGAATCCGCCAACATGACCTCTCTCCCACCTTGTGCTATTTATACGCCCGTGATCTAGGTTTCTTTTCCATCGACTTCTACTCAGGCAGCAGAGCCTCCGATCTGGGTAGAATCCACACCAAGCAGGTTCTCACCCTTCCTGATAGCGGCGGCTTTCTATTCCGACAAACCTTTGGAAAGACCCTCCGTGGTAACGGCGTCCATAATTTCTCTGTGCGTCCCGGCCCTGACCCACTCACTTGCCCTGTGTCCAACCTCCGCCTCTACGTCCGTCTTTCCGACGCTATGGAAATCAACCTCCGTCGTGGGTACCTCTTTCGCACTGTCAACAACTCCGGCCACATCACCGAACACCCATTCCAAGGCTCCGCTGTAGGTAATCGCCTTCACCTCCACCTTACCACCCTACACATTAATGACGGTGAAACCGCACACAGCTTCCGTTCCGGTTGCTCGATCACCTTGTCCCTTCTCGGCTTTTCTGATCAGGATATTGCTCAACATGTCGGATGGAAGTCCACCTCCACAGCCCGGTATTACTCCAACACTCACCAAGTTTTACATCCCTCTACGACCACCACACTTCTTACCGAAGCTACATCACAAGTCGACATTCCACATGCCTCCGCCATCGGCACATCTTTTCGAGCCCGCAACAATTTGGTCAATATGTCTCTCGCATTTCCATAACCCTTTCAACAATTTCACGTAATGCCATATTTTCGTCTTTATAACTCTCACGTTTTCCCTTTCTTTTCCCTGAGTATGGGAGAAGGGGAAATCCTCGCGTTTGCAAATGTTGTAATATTTTTTTCATTCTCTACCAATAAAGCCCCATAAAAGCAAAGCCTGAAATTATTTTGTCCCCCATTCTTAGCTCTTCTTCATCTCGGCTATTGTGTGGCGGAATGAGCTGTGGGAATATAATACTATTCCCATTGGGAATTCTGCCACACAATGGGCGAACTAAAACAGCAAATTCATCGCATGGCTAATAGAGAGGTGTGGCTATCATGTGATAGCATAAAGCAATTAAATAGGGCAAGCAAAATCGAGTTTTTCGCATTTCGACGTTGGAAAGAAGGTATACGCAAAGCTTAGAAGGGTTTTTTCTTTCGACCCACCCACCTCCCCTCAGACGCGACAGCCTCTCCTTCCGCCCTCATAGCCGAGCTGAAATTATTTTGTCCCCCATTCTTAGCTCTTCTTCATCTCGGCTATTATGTGGCGGAATGAGCTGTGGGAATATAATACAATCCAAAGTTGCCAAAATGTCATGGACGTTCAATGGTCATGGTAGTTGTGTGCATGCGCAAAATTTGAACGAAGAAAGAACGATCGTCTACGACTTGCTGATTGGCTAAGACAAAAAGAGAGCATGCATGATAGCGTGAGCATTTTAACCGTCATTTTTCAAACTATTTTTTAAAAATATAAAATGAAACCATGGAGTCAAATATTAAAACAATAATAAAAGATTTAAAGATCATCACAGCACAGAAACAGTTGGTGAAATAGGAACGACTCGTAATTTATAATCTTTGAAGTGGTAGGTGTCTATATTTTGCTTATTCAGTGTTTGCTGTAAGAATGCATTGTTTTTTTGACAAGTACGAGCTTGGTATGTCGTTTTACAAGGAGCTAACCGACCGTTTAAGGCTTTACATAATTTAAAAAGAGTTCTCAAAAGTGTACTTCAGAGTTTTGATAAAACAAATATCACTTTGCAGCTTATATAGTCGCTAAAATCATTGAATGAAATAAATAATCGAAAAACAACATTCGACGTTTAATGCTTGTATGGTTATTATAATTATTTGTGCTGTTTTGATGTTTTGAAGGTTCAGCTATAGAAAAGTTTAACACTCACTTAAACTACAACATAATGCAGCAGGCAAACAGGTGATTTTTGTTCACCTGTACGACTGTCTTTGTTTGCGAAAAATTTGCACGAGTTATTTCATAACATTAGCGTAGAAAGTTAGGTCTGGGTAGCGCACAAAATATTTTGCTTCGTTTAAAATGGCGAGGGGTTGCTGCATGCATGTATTTCTAGTATGGCATGATTTAAACGCGGAGGATGAAAGGATAATAATTTACAGATCTTTAAGGGTAGCTTTTGGAATTGCTAGTAGCCCTTTTTTATTGAATGGGACCATCCAGCACCATCTCACTAATGCCTTGAAGAAAGAGAAGGACATAGTAGAACGCATTAAAGATGATTTTACGTGGATGACTTAGTGGGTGCAATAAGGTGGAAGACGGCAAAGCTATGTACGATAAAAGCAAACTAATTTTATTAGAAGCCGGATTTGAATTGAGAAAGTGGGTTACAAATGATAAGGAGTTGAGTGAGTACATTACATCAAAGGAAAGTGAAAAGAGCGAGTGACTTATTTTGAGGCAAATATCTGGCGTATTTGAGCGAAGATGATCTTGACGAAACGCTAACTCAACTTCACTTAATGCACGGTCGCAGTTACTCCAACGGAAAGCAATTATAAGCGGTTGACCGGGTCTCTATATCAAGTTTGTAGAATTGTAAACGGCGATTATTCCATCTACATAAGGTGCTAAAGAATTTCTGGATGCGATTTTGTACTAGCTATCTTAACGAACTTCGCGAAAATGAACTTGTACCGGAAAGAAAAAGGAAGTAATGGTAAGAAAGTTACAGTGGACATTGTCGTCCTTATCATCAAAGAGGACAAACCTATACCTCGTACACAATGGAGAATGGGTAGAGTTTTGGAGCTTGTGAAAGGACGAGACGGGCAAGTTCGTGGAGCAAAATTAAAGGTCCTCTCAAAAGAGGGTCAGCAGACATTGATACATCGTCCTGTTCAGAGATTAATCCCATTTGAAATCCTAGAGAAACCAGAGCACCCCTTATCGAACGTACAGAGGAAGAAAGTTCGATCAAAGAGGTACCTCCAGAGAATGTTGAATTTAGGGAAACAGACACTCACGTACGGCCTAGAAGAAAAGCGGCTGCGGAAAGATAAGCTATGCCGCGAATGCGCGAACAATATACTTAAGATAACTTGGCTAAACATTTTAATCTTTGGTTTGGAGGATGTTATAAGTCAAGTTATAATTTATGTTAATGAATATTTGTTAATGTTGATTAACAGCCTCGATTAGAAGAACTGTTGCTATTGGTTAATGAGTAAGCCTCGTGTGAGGCCTCGGGGGATCGGAAAAAACTGTCTTAAAAAGGGAGAGACTGAATGTTCGGTAGTCTCGTGTGTTAAAATATATATGAAATATAAAACTTTATAAAAAGCCATAAGTGATTAGAATATCATTTTTTGCTTTTTAAACAAATTTTTCATAGTTTTTCGCAAATATTACTTTACAGAGGGTGTAAGAGACGTCTTCACTGACAAAACGAATGAAAATAATCCGTAAGTTTTTAATCAGATATTTATTGTTAAACTATTAAAAAAAATTCACAATCACATGTCTCACATTGTAACACTGACCTGTTTTATAATTTTTGTTTCAAAGTAAATTGAAGCAAAGTAAATTCGTATAACCAACGTTCTCGGATGTATACTTCTACATTTTTAAAAACAGTTACAAACCTTCAGGAATAATAAACGAACAAAGTTTCGATGGAAATCTACGCATGATATCTCGCTTTTAACTGAAATAATCTCCACTGAACCTTACAGATGGAAACATGGCTCCAGGGAACGTGGAGAAGCTTTCCGAAAAGTATCTGAAAACCTGAAACTAATCCCTTATTCTGCCTTTCCCACCAGTCTTAACCAACGTGGAGTTCGTACCAGGTTTTTTGAATTGTTGGACACATTCAAAAAGCAGGAAGCAAAAGAAGCAAGAGCGAGTGGTATAGATGCAGAATTCGATGAAAAAACACAGTTGTTAAGTGATATTCACAGCCGTATGGTAGATTTTGAAAACGGCTTTGTGGAAGAAATGGAATTAAAGCAGCAGAAAAAAGATAAAGAAAAAGCAAACGCAGAAGAAATGCGACAAATAGCTTGCAAAAAAGTTGGGGAAGCATCACAAAGAAACAACCTAGATACCCCAAGCAGAAAAAGAAAGGCGACTGAGTTTGTGGAATACCTGAAACAGAAAGAAGGGCGTAACAGACTAAATACAGAAAGGAAGTTAAAAATTCGCGAAGAGGAATTAAAATTAGAAAAACAAAAGCTTGATGTGCAGCAAGGGATGCAAAATCAAAGTTTTGAGCAATTGAAAATGCACCAGCAATCACAAGCATCAATGTTCAATTTATTTCAAACCTTTATTGACAAGTTCAAGTCCCAATGAATTTTAATGAATTTATAATACACAGTTGGTTTGCTATCATTCTTAACTCTTCAGTGGGTCTATAAATAAGTAATAATAAATTAAATTGCTGTGCATTAAATAATTTACAAAGTCAATGTTAATATAATTTTTCAAATAATTAATTTGAATTATGTACAGTATATTAAATGTTCCTTGGAATTAAGGGATTATATGACCTTTGGCAAAATGTCTGTATTAATTTAAGGCATCAACTATATAAATTGTGAGAGTGGATGATTGGGAGATTTTTAAATTATGTCCATAGGCCAAAAAATCAAGCAAAGGAAAGTGGTTAGATTATTCCTTACTGTTGTTCAAAACAAATTCTTTAATAATTATTTAATTATTTGCAAATCATTATACCAAAATACTCCTATTCCATCTCAAATGGTCAGCCTCTAATATACAGGAATTATCCTTTTAATCTTAAGAATTCACACAATATAATTTATTGAAAACTCAATATAGGATAATGCTTTTTATGAAGGGATAAATGCCCTTTTTAGTATTCAATAGCCTGCCCAACAAATAAATTTATTCATATTGACTAAAATATTTATCTAGGTTTGGGGGCTCCAGATGAAAGAATTGTGAGGTCTGTGAACCATAAAGACATGTTTTGGCATTAAAAATTAAACACGAGACTGCATAAATCTTTGCAACTGATTGCAAGCAAATTTTTAAATTCTTTTTAAAATCATTACAAGCAAAGTAGATAGCAATTTCCCCAAATGGCCACTCCACAGCAACTCTTACTGAACCCATGGCTTTGATAAACTGTTGTTGTACATTGGACAGGTTTGTTCTTTTATACGGGCACTGCAAGTGAAAGTGTGTGGATATGCAGGATCTCCATATATAGCAGCAATGTACCCAGACTTAGCAAAATGACAGAATGAGATGGCTGGTTAACCATCTGCCTCCATGTTGTCAGTTTTCCCATCATGGGAAGGTGTTAAGCACTAATGTAGAATTGTAATACCAACTGGTTGGTCCATACAGATGGACAATTAAACCAATTGCTGCTTGACAGCTTGCCACTTGATTGCATGTGTTCTTTTGTGCCCATTGTATATAGTTTTTTGATGTACTTGTGGCCTGTAAATCAAAATTAATATATTATTTTAATATTGACAGTCTTACTGTGCCATCAATAAATCTCTAGACTCTGTCCAGAGCTGCACCTTTTTCACGAACCGCTGTTGCCATTCTCGACAACTCCTCTGGGGCCAGCCATGGTACATTTAGGTTAGTTAACAGGGAATGGTGTTGGGCAAATACCAAATCGACAACATTGTTGAATATCATGCTAAATTCTGTCTTTGATCTTCCAAACATTGTAATTATGTCTGTTAAACGATTTGGGTAAGCTAAAAGACGAAGTAGTACGCATAATCCTTCTACAGATCCAGCAACATTGCCATTTGAGCAATCGTAGTGCAACCAGTACTAGATGCAAAATATCAACATTTTGGAAACGAAAATTCAGTAGACACTCTTCGTCGGTGTATTTATTGAGCTCAAAACGTGCATAGTTTTGGGGAGGAATAGCTAGGCGCCGGAAACTCAGTAAAATACATGCACAATCCGAGCAATTCTTCATCGTCTAAGTCACCTTCATCTTCTGCTACAAGAAGCAGTTCTTCGTCGTGCCTCCTCATTGCCGCCATATTTATTCACGAAAACGTCTCAGAGACAAGCGTCGTAAAGCCGGTTTTTCCACTAGCGATATTTTTCGCGCGAAGCGACATTTTACTTTTGTTCCAGAGCTCTCAACTGCAACCATCTAGAACAAATTGCTCAAATACAAAGGAATAAAGTCGCTTCGCGCGAAAATTATCGCTAGTGGAAAACCGGCTTAAATCTGAACTTAAAAAATGTTTGTCGCGACCTCAACTGATCAGAGCCAGTGAAAGGTAGCGGTAGCGTGAAATCTGAACCTCGCTACTATCAAGTGTAAAATCTTCCGACTTCATTATACACGATGAATTCGGTTGAAAATTTGGTTTTGTTACTTGTTAACCCGTGAAAAGTCCTGACCTCATTCGAGTTTCCCTCTAATTTAGTAAAAATACATACATATATTCCATATTTATGAAAATATAAATTTGTAAATTTCATCAAAATTTTGCTAAATGACAGTTATTCATTGAAGTTTGAAAATGCAAGTTTTTGTCCCGACCAATCAAAAGCTTAGTAGTTCCAACTGGCGCATGAGGTCCATTGCATAATGGCGGACGACTTTGATTTCGCATTTGCACATCGTGGGTGTAAATATCCGAGCGGGATTAGTACCCACGGTATTCAGCAGCGGCTCGGAAATTATCTTACCATACCGAGGATGCGGACAGAGCGCGACTTTCGACAAAATTTCGCATTTCGACAAATCGAAATTAAAACTGCTTTAAATTCTCGACCGAATGAAGAAAACCACTGAGCTACATAATAATTCCTGGAAGACCGGCTCCTAATGCTTTTGGCTAAAAAAGTGAAGCAAGAAAACATGACGGATTTTTTCGTGCTGACGCCAGATATGATCCGAAGAGATCATGGCAATTACCGCTGACCAACTCCGATACAAGCCAACAAACGTTGTCCTTCACCCTCCGTTTTTTTTTAAATTCCCGCCCTTTTTAATTCCCGCCACTTTCAAAGTGTTTACACGTATTTAAAACGTTAACCAAGGTTTTTCAAAAAAATGCCGCAGTCTTGCTCCGCCTTTCGATGCCATAACCAATTGTCAAAGGAAAGGATTTCCTCCCACCGGTAAGATAGTTTTAACCATATTTTTGGATTATATTTACAATAAAAAATGGTTTAAATTATGTTAAACCTGATGTTGTAGCTGTTCAAATATTTAAAAATAAGCTACCTCTTTTGGGTTTACCCACGGTAGTTTTCAGTACTCTTTTTGCAAAATACACAGGGTCTTGGAGTGTTGCTTAATAAAAAGCAAATATAAACAAGCATATATTATAGGTGAATGAGTACAAATGATCGTCATACACTGAGTGTTACATAATAAATTATCGCAAAAGTATATTACAATTATTTTTATAGTGCTATAAAAAATAATAGTGTTTACAATTTTATATTGTTATATTGTTTAAAACGCGTATTTTTCACAAGTACATGGTACATGTTTTGCATTACTCTAGCTATATTTATAAATAGGTAATGCATAATTTGAGTTATTTGACCCTATATAAAATCTTAGGTTGGAAGGAAGTTATCTGCCAGGGGCAGGTTGTTCAAAAGGCGTTTAGCTTAAGGTGGCCCCCTAGGGTTTTTTCCCCGAGGGTAACGTTACTCGTATACGTCGCAGGAAATTTAAAAACTCGCTGGATTTAAAACCCAAAATGTAAACATAGCGTTTCTTGCGAGAAAAACCCTATCCCGAAGCAAGTACGTTGATATTTTCATTACAAAAAGTATTAAAAAGCTTTTACAAACGACACCAATTTTTGTGGGTAACCTGATAGGAAAACAAAGCAACAATTTGTTGGGAAACAGTGGTTTACTTGGTGTTTACAGCCGCCGTAAGGAGTCACAGTCACATCGCGAAAAATGGCGATTCAAATTCTCGCACATATTTTCACTGTTTTCGGCTCTATATATTTGTAACCTTGAGCGAGCTGAATGCATGGAAAAAGACGAAAGTTCATCTTCAACATCTGTAGCTAGCTTAGCCGAGACGCCAAAAACAAAACATCACAATAAACGGAATGATATCGGGCGCTTTGCAAAGGTACGCAACGTTGGGCACAAAAAGAAAAATCTAGAACCGATGAAAGCAGCTTTAGTGGCAAGACGAAGCCTTATTTTTGACATGTGTGATGAAAATGAGCCCCCTTCTAAACGAAAAACAAGGAGCGAGAAGGTACGTGCTATATAAGATGATTCATTTGTTATAATATTTCCTGATCACAGTAAAAGTCTACAAGACAAGGAACCTGATAAACACATATTTTCAGGATGATACATACAGAGAAATTGTTGTGCATGGAAACCGAATCATAGACGTTGAACACCTTCAAGAAAAAATGAAAAGATGCAACAATTGCCATTCAGGTGAAATTTTATACCAACTAAGACTAAATAGGGACTAATGATGCTTATGATAGATGTATATACTATACTATACATCTGACTAATGTGAAAAATAAGAGGCCATATATTTTTACATAAATATCTATTTTAATTTTATTTTTTAAAAAATATTTAACTATTAGCACCAAATTTCAGTATAGCTGAAGCATATACCTATACTTATATGATTTAGGTCCTTTGCCATTTACTCTATGTGATGAACAGAGACATGGCCTAGCAAGTACATTCAATATAAAATGCCCATTCTGTCATCATATGAACAAGGCTGAAACTTCAAGGCAACATACAACTGGCAAGCGAGGCCCAAAGGCATTTGATATCAACACTAGGGTTGCTCTTGGCTCTCTTCATGCTGGCATTGGTGAAACCCATATGAACAATATTTTGTCTTGCATTAACATACCTGCAATAAATTCAAATACTTTTAAACAAAGAGAAAGAGAAGTGGGGAAAGCTGTTGAGGAGATAGCAAGGCAAAGTTGCAAGGAGGCCACAAATTCGATAAGAAATGGAATTATGACTACCACTGCTGAACTTAATGAGAATGATTTGGTTTCTGTCCCATGTTCATTTGACATGGGTTGGCAAAAAAGAGGAAAGGGCCATAAACAACAAGTTCAGTACTCTACCTACACTGGAGATGATGATTCCACAACAGAGGCACATATTCGCCAAAAAGTAGAATACAAAGTGGAAAAACGTAGCGACATTGTACATATGAAAAGGTCCCTAACTACACGCCTATATAATTTGAAGCAAAATGCCAAATTTCCAGAAAGTTCTACACTATCAACAAAGGTCATCAACTATCTAGTGAGATGTTTTTCATATGCCATTACACAAAACAAAGGAAATCCAAATGAAATAAAAAAAGCAGTTGAAAGTATTGTTCCCCATGCTTTTGGAAACCATGCAGACTGTGATATCAGTTGGTGTGGATACAAAGGTGACCTGACCAATTACAAACATAAGACTCTTCCATATGGTAAGGATCTCTTTGGTGAAAACTTAATGAATGCACTAAATAATATATTCAATGACTATTGCACTGAGACTGTGGTAAACAAAATAGCACCATGCTCTAATTCACAGAGAAATGAGGCCCTAAACAGTGTTGTTGGATAAAAAAATCCAAAAATTAGATTTTATGGTGGAAGCGAGAGCAATGACTTTAGAGTGGCCTGTGCTGTTGCCCAGAGAAACCTCAGGTATTCCTATGTTGACAAATCATTAGAAGCACTCAACATTGAACCTGGCTTATTTTGCATGAATTACAATGCAAGGATGAATGCCAAAATCTTACAACAAAATGCCAGAAAATCAACGATAAAGTTTAAAAGACAACGAGCACAAAAGCACTTGAGCTGCAATGCTGAAACCGCACGAAAAGAAGCAAAGGAGGGTACAACTTATCAAACTGGTGTTGGATTAAATTTAGACAAAAACAACCCAAACTCGACTGGCCCAAATTTGGCAAATATCATACCAGAGATAGAAATTCCAGATGTTAAAGCAATCTCAGTGAAGGACTTCCAAACAATAGAAAACACTGTACCTCCATTTACTCCTCGACCAGAAGCAAAACAAGTCAAGTTTGATGAAGCAAATTATTATAATTTTTTGGTGTTTGATACAGAGACAAATACCACTGGCAAATCAGCAGAAATATGCCAGTTATCAGTTTGTGACATGGTTGGTTCATACATATTTTCAGAATACATACTCCCAACACACAACATTGACTTTTTTGCTTCACGAGTAAATAATCTGGATATACAATTAATCAATGGCAAACGAGAATTGTTCAAAAATGGCAAGTTAGTACCTTCAATACCTTTCAATGAAGCCATAACAAAACTCCAGAGTTATATCTCACAGTCAATTGACCAGGCAAGAGCCACTACAAGCAAGCCAATTGTCACTGTTCTTATCGGACACAACATTGCTACCTTCGATACACCAATACTTTTGCGAAATGCTGGTGGAAACTTTGCATATAACTTAGATTTGATGAACGTTTGGTTTGCAGATTCCTTGTCTTTGTTCAAAGAGCTAATTAAATGTCAATTTAAACAATTGAAGAATGCAAATGGTACGTTTCCCAAAGCTAATCAATCGTCCATTTACGAAGCTGTGTTTCAAGAGTCATTCAATGCACACGACTCCTTAGAAGACGTCCTTGCTCTCAGAAAAATTTTGTTTTCATCCAAACTTGAACTGTCAACACCGACGATAGTCAACTATTCCCAGATGATAACCACACAACATGCTGTTGAGGACATAAATACCTGGATCATCGCCACGAAAATATCCAAACTTTTAACGCCATCCAGTTCAATTCGCGAAGAAATATAAATGGCATCTTAAAGAAAAATATGGTGGAAAAAATCGCTGGATCTGGCTTGTCGTAAAAGGATCTTAGCGACGTTCACAATAAGTACGGACCATGTGGACTCACTGCAATTCTGTCGAAGTCACCTTCAAATTCATCTCTATCATCGCCTAGAGTCACTCGTAATAGACGAATTTTAGCGGCAATTGTTAATCACTTCGAAAAAAACAACAAATCATAGGTATCGTAAACCTCGTTGTAAACTATAATATAATAGAAGTTTTTATTTCTTCCATGTAACGACCCGTGAGCGACGAATCGCAATCGCGTATTGCGCGTGATCTCTCGCGCGATACTACGAATTTCGGTAATTATTTTTTTCAGAATTTTCCAAATATACCTTTGAATTCCTCTTATTTCCCTCGGTGAATCATCTTGAAATTTCGTGCAATAAATGAGATTGCCTTCATTGATCAAAATACCAAATTAAAAAAAAATCAATCGAAGGAATATTTTTCAATAACAATTTTGAACCTTTATGTTCATTACAGAAAAATGTATCGATTTTTTTTTTTTAAAATTTGGCAAAAGAACGATTAAGAAATTTCTCTTCGATTGTCGAATTTAAAAAATGATTCACCGAGGAAAATCCGCAAAATAGCAAAAAGATTCATTGTATCGTCCACCAGGAAATGATGAGAAACCACTTGAAGCCTTCAAACAGTCGTTACACAGATTGCAATCAAATGGAACTTTCCCTAGAATTATTATCGCTGGCGATATGAATGTACCAGACATTGATTGGAGCTATACATCAGTTAAGACAAATCCACAATACAGTGCTACAGTAAACCAGACAATGATCGATCTTATAGATGATCATGGTCTTACTCAGCTTGTAACTTTTCCAACAAGACAAGAATCAGTGCTTGACTTAGTATTAACTACCCATCCAGATCTTGTACAGAACCTTGCAAGTGTCCAAGGCATTAGTGATCACTCAGCCGTGTCGTTTGACTTGAATTTGTCTGTAAAACTTAACAAGAAGAAGCCACGTACTTACGTGGTGTACCTACAAGTTATTATAATTACTAAAGTCGCCATGCAATCATACAAGAAAATTATTAAGCCACGTACAGTTTACAAGTTTGCTAAGGCTAACTTTACTGATATACGCAGGGAAGCAACAACTCTCAGTGAAGATTTCTTTGAAAGACAACCAGATAATATAAGTATCGAGAGTAACTGGGAATTTTTCAAGTCCGGTATTATGGACATTCTAAACAGAAGAGTACCAAACAAGAAGAGTGGTTCGTGGAGTAACTGCCCCTGGATGACAAGAGATCTCAAGACAGTTCTGAGGAAAAAGAAACGATTATATAATAACTATAAGAAATCAGGGAAGGCCTGTGACAAAGAAAAATACCGTGCATTCCAAAAACTGTTTAAAATCAACATGAAGAAGGCTCAGGATGAGTTTATAGCAGACACCCTCAACTCTGATCTAAAAGACAAACCAAAGAAATTTTGGTCTTATATTAAATCAAAAAGACAAGATCAAGTTGGAATTCCACCATTGAAGGAAAATGGGTTAGTGAAGACGGACAGTGCAAGTAAGGCAGAAATCCTAAGTAACCAATTTCAACAGGTATTTACACAAGAGGATCTAACATCTATACCAAATAAAGGACACAGTGAAATCCCGATGATGAGTTCAATATTATTTAATACGGATGGTGTGGAAAAACTACTTAAGAACTTAGATAGCAAGAAAGCAAGTGGACCTGATAAAATACCAACTACATTACTTAAGGAAACTGCATCAGAAATAGCGGATGTTGTGACATTCCTATTCAATCAATCATATTGTTCTGGCCAATTACCCGAAGACTGGAGAAATGCACATGTGGTTCCAATATTCAAGAAAGGAGTGAAGCACGACCCAGGCAATTATAGGCCGGTTTCTTTGACGGCTGTATTATGCAAACTTATGGAACACGTCATCTACAGGAACATAATGGAACATCTCGAGAATAACAACATCCTATTTTCAAATCAACATGGTTTCCGCAAAAATCATTCATGCGAAACCCAACTCTTATCCACAGTTGAAGACCTGGCACGAAATATAGACAACGGAGATCAAATTGACTTGCTAATACTTGATTTCAGTAAGGCTTTTGACAAGGTCGCTCATGGGCGCCTGATCAGTAAATTATCACATTATGGTATTCAAGGCAAAACACTTGCATGGATTGAGTCATGGCTTACAAATAGAACACAAAGAGTAGTAGTGGACGGAGTGTCATCAAACCCAGTTGATGTTACGTCAGGAGTGCCACAAGGCACTGTACTTGGTCCACTAATGTTCCTCCTGTTTATCAACGACATGCATGAGAACCTGGAATGCACTTTAAGGCTATTTGCGGATGATGCATTGTTGTACCGCAAAATCTCACAAGATGATGACACCTCGGTCTTGCAGAGGGACTTGGATAAAGTGGGCTTATGGGCCGAAAGATGGCAAATGGTTTTTAACCCCACAAAATGTTACAAAATGTCGGTTTACAGGAAGAAGACACCGGTTCTTAAAGAACCTCATCTAGAGTATGCAGCAGCTGTGTGGGACCCTTATAGACAGGAGCAAGTAGACAAGATTGAGGCAGTCCAGCGTCGTGCGGTGAGATTTATAAAGCAGAATTATGACTGGAAATCTAGTGTTACAGAAATGAGACAATCTCTGTCTTTGGACCCGCTGAGCGAAAGGAGAAAGGCACATCGAGTAAAACTATTCTATTTATTAGTAAACAATAACATTGCATTACCATTACCTAATTATTATCAGCGATCAACACGTTATACCAGAAGTTATTCAAATAATACGTTTATACACAGTTAATAGAATATACATGGTTTGGAGACTACATAAAAGTACTATAGATCTCATTATCTATGTCGGGGAACATTTATGCAAAAAGTTGTCCCTTATTCGTCACGTGTCTATTGTATTTTGAACAAATAAACCAATAGTAAGGTCTGAATTAACATGTTGTTCAAGTCACGGTTGAGGAGCTAAGCCAAGCCATTGCTATTGGTTAGTTGGGCTAAAATACAATAGACATGTGACGGATAAGGAACCATTTTTTGCATAAACCTGGACAATAACATAGATAATGAGTTGTATTGTACTTCCATCTAGTCTCCAAACCATGTATATTCTAATAACTGTGGTTTATACAACCTAAGGCACGCCATGATTATTATCTATATAGTTTCTTTCCAAGAACAATTAAGGATTGGAACAATATCCCAAATGATTTAAGATCTGTACATAGCTATCCACAATTTTGTAACAATTTGAATAGTTTTCTTTTTAAATGCTAATCTATATTGGCATTATTAATTTTTCTTAACTAATTTATTGTATTTACATTTCATAGACATTATCTTCTTAAATTATTTTATTGTATTTATATTTTATAGACATTTTATAGAGATTTGAATATAGACAAATAATTTATGTTAACTTATTTTTATCTCTTCTTGATACGAAAGTGTTGAAGAGCAGTAAATGTAGGTGTAGATTGGAAAAAACGTGTTCCATTGCATACGCGCTGTTACCATGGTAACAGAGTTTAAGTGTGAATTTATGGCTGCAAAAACTTGAGATAAATATAAAGTGGGTTTTGTGAAAATTTCTTTCCCGTACCGCGTAAGGCAATGATTTGGGAATCATATTTATGCATCAGTATTGTTTTAGGCAAAAACCCTAGGGAGCCACCTTAAACGGTGG